AGAGTACTACTTGTGGGCTTCTTGCAGACTTCCCATAGGCACCTGGTTGGCCACTGTGACTACAGGATGCTGGATTAGATTGGCCTTCAGCCTGATCCCATTGGTCTCCTCTTGTGTTGTTACTAAGCCATCCCCTTCCTTAGCTGCAACAGATCACTTCTCCTGTTCAGTTGTAATAACTTACCCAGAGCAATAAGCCCAAAGAGTAGACCAAGGAGAAGCAGCCAGGCTAGCAGCAAGCCTAAGAGCCACTTCCACCAGCTGCAACAGGAGGCACAGGGGCACCAGGCTGGAGCAGCTCCTGCTCCACCACATCCATCATCACCTCGGATTTCTATAGAGAGCAGAGACATAACAGTAAAAGCAGGTTAGACAAGAGAGTGTGGCTCCACAAAGGTGTAGGCTGGAAAACGTTCCAAGGTGTCCCACACAAATGTTTGTCGAGATTCTTTTACTTACTGCTTTCCATTTAATGATTATTAACCAAATTTATAAATTGGCCTTCATCACATAGAAATTGCATAGCACTTTCCAACACCACACACACACACACACACACGTATATGTATATGTATATATATATATATGAAGTTTTCTCCATAATGGCTTCATTTGGGAATCATGACAAACCATATAATGACTGGGATGAGCCCCGAGCCCCCTCCCTTTGGTTCATTAACTCCCCACTATTCCTTTCTCCCCCAGTACAGCTTTAATTAATCACATTTAGCTACCTCCTAAACCTAACTATGGGTTTCTGAAACAAGCCAGCTTCAAAACTGCAGTAGTGTGAAGATGGCTTCTTTCAAACAAGCCATAGTTAGGATTAACCATCGTTTGTGGGGCTTGAACAATGTGTCACACTGTGGTTATTTTTTTAAAATGGAAGCAAATGCTTCCAAACTTCTCCTGTGCCTATGAAAGGCAAAGGGCACACCAAGTAGTGTGAGGTTACTGCTCATTCCCACCATGGATCAGTTATGGTTCATCATGATGTCTGAACACAGCCATTATATTTATCTTTCTTTAAATGTAACATCCCAAACTTGGTGAGGGTTTGTGTCATGAAGTGATTAAAATCACAAGCAACGAACCAGAAGTCCCCAGTTTAAGTCTCTGCCAAAATCAATGGGAGTAAGAAAGATTTTAAAGCTTGACAAAAGATTTCAAATAGCGTTACACTTCCTCTGGGAAAACTCTCTAGCAACTGAAGTAAGGGAGACATCTGGGATTGATATTCTGGACTCAGTAAAAGTACATGAAAACACTAAGTGAGCTCTTGTGCAGCTTCTGTTCGCTTGTGAGGCATAGACGGGAGAACTCCCTGGTGGGTTGTGATTGCAAGTTGCAATCCCCAGTAGACTGGAACATTTCTACTGGAGTGTCATTGACTTTAGTTGGCATGTTAAGGAACATTTGAGCTTTGGGTTGTAGCTCTGTTGTGCCTCTGCATATCAGCTGTTAGCGGGGCTGCATTTTACCTAGTGACATTTTAAAGCTATAATCACTATAAAATGTTGCTTCCCTTCTAAGGCAGACACACTCACCTGCATAAGTAGCTTTGTCCTTTGTTGAAATAGATCTTAGTCCTCCTATTAGAAAAACAAGAACAAATGCTAAATAGTCTTTCTACATGCAGCCACACTATTTCTAAATGAAATTCAATCCAGGGCGACAGCTGCCAATCCAAACAAGGATCATGAGAAAAACAGTTGCAGTGTGGCTTCACTGATCAGATAATAGGGCCACAATTATGCAATTTTCATCGTTAAGGGTGGTAAGTATTAGACAGGTTTCTGCAACCCACATAGGAATTTTTTTTTAAATGAAAAAGGATAAGAAACCCTAAAAATAATGGTGCAGAAGCATCTGCAAAAATAGAAAGCAACAGTTGCAAACACCCATGCACAACCACAAGAAAGATACCTTTAAAGAACATGTTTCCCCTCCCAAAACCCGACTCACCCTAAAGCACTTTTTTCACCTCCAGAATGACTATAGCAACACCTCAATTATTTCCGGCACATGGCACTTTCTAGCACATGTGTATAGAGGGGAAAACATTGTTTTATCATGTATAGGTGCTAGGAAGCCACAAATTACATCCAGTTCTCAACACGTGATTCCATGGTACAATAGCCATCTACACAATTTTCATGTATGTTAGTGTATACAAGCGCACACATTTATTTCTATAGCTATGTTGGAAAAATATTATTCCCACTTCAAGGCAGAGAATCAGAGGTTTACCATTTGTTTCTGATTTCAGATAGGAATCTCCAGCATAAGAGGAAGAGAAAGCCTGCTTGTCTTTCTTTAGGGTGTCTTCTGAATAACAGCCTGTAAACAGCCCAAACAAAACACATTTAGAAGTATCTCAAAGTAGATATCACATCTGGTATGTCTGAACTGACCAAGTTCCAGTACCTTCCTCATTCATGTTGACTTAGTTATTATGGGGTGATTACATTGTCCGTCAAAAATATGACTCCACTATTCCCAGGATAACCACATAGCCACTGATTGTGTGAATACACAGGGACTGGAAACACTTCAGATCAGGGGCTTTAGAAGCAAACCAGAAGTGACTGGGAGAACCTTTTGAGAGATGTAGCACAACCAACCCCTGAAAAATACCTTGCATACATGCATCGTAGGACCAGTTCATATGTTACCACAAGAGTTTTACATAAACTACTTATAGTTTTTGAATATTCAGTGGTATATGAATCTTGATAAACAAACAAACAGCATGGGAGCTGGGATTCAGTTAACATTTGCATGGGAAGGAATTATGCTGTCTCCCCATTTAGACCTTACTAGAGTAGTATAAAACTAGACCATAGGAAGGCAGCTTCTACCCCACCAAAGTAATGTCTGAGTTAAGTCCAGTCGCCAATGGGTGTGAGACATGAGAACGAGGCAGGAAACAAACCTCCACTGAGCCCAGTGCCGGAAGCACTGAAAACTTTTCCACTGTCCTTGGTCATGATCAACAGCTCCACATCTTTCTTGGGAGCCACGTTCTCTTTCTCTAGGAGCAGGAACTTGCAGTCCTTGCGCAGGATGTCATCATTCTGAGAGCCTGTGGTAGTGGCAGCTGGATGGCATTGAAAAAGGTAAAAGTAAATGAAAGCATGCAACTATTGCACGATAGCCCTATGAATATCCAAGCTGTTGGCATGAATCTGCCATTTCCCTGTTCCAGCCCCATATTTTGGGGACCTGAACATTTGGATTTCCATATTTAGGGGCAATTTTTAAGAGAAGATCTGTCGGCTGCCAGACTACAGAGTTTGGTGGCAGACCATGCTAAGCGGGTGGCATGCCAGATACACCACAAGCATGGCATAAATGCCAGGAGAAGGACTCAGACATGCTGGTGGAGTGGCTCCACAGGCAAAAGGTTGGTCTAGTGATTGCCAGGAGGACACTGATCAAGTTCTGAGGATGTACATATGCATAGATCCTATCTTGCAGGGGAACCCAAGTTCTCTTGGGAGCAGTGTGCTGCTCCTTGTGCTGCTGAACTCATGTGCTGGAGGCACTGTGGCATCACTGCACTATGGCCATGTCCTCAGATCAGCTGGCATGGAATGCCTCCCTCTGTTCTCTGGCTGGTGTGAGTGCATAGCATCTGCCATGCCCTGAGATTGGTGGGCAATGCTGGTGTTGCCAAGGATGCATTTCTGAGGCATTTACATTTTTTATTCCCAAGTGCTTTCTCTTTCTATACTGGACTGAGCATGTGTTGGATAGGGCAGTTGTTCTGCCGGTGCAGCAGCAGCAGCTTATCCCTGGCCCCAGTGTAACTGCAGTTGAGGATTGCTTTGCCCATTTTCAGACAGTTATTTAAAATTCCACAAATGTTGGATTCAGACAAAATGCAAATTAGGTTACGAATTTATGCTGGGTAGAAAGACACTTTTGCTAATGCTTTCAGTACATATATAACAGGGGAAAGCTCCATCTATTGAATTCCTGCCATAGTTGTTAAAGGCACTGGAACATGCTAGAAAGAAAAAAAGGTAAACACCCTGTCCAAAAAGGATGTATCCAAAATATATTTCTGCTAGGGTCTTCTGGCCCTTTCTGCTGTAGGCTAAAATGTAAATTTAAATATTTGGACTATCAAAATGTCATTTTCAGTATTTGGACTGTATAATGTTTATTTCAGTATCTAGACTTGTAAATGTCTTATTGCATTCTGTGCTTTGACACCCTTGGCAATGCTAGCAAAGGCACCAAAAGCACCAACATCAGCAAAAGCACAGGGTGGAAAAAGTCTATATGGGTGAGAACAGGGAATAAATCCCATATGGGTGACAGCAGCAACAGTAAAATATGTTCTTTTTTAGTGATAATGGGTTCATGGAATTGCCATGCAAGCAACTGCTGCCTTTGATTTATCCAACAAATCTATGAAGAAATGTTTCTGTGAAGACGGTCTGGCATAAAGTTTAAATTAAGGACAATGATATCAGTTTTGCAATTAGACTTCATGATGTAAATCCAAGTCAGCTCCGCTTTGAGAAAAATGGCTGCAAAACAGGCACCAGGGAGAAGATTAATCTGTTCTCCATGCGCTTTAGTGCACTAGGCCTTTATTCTTATTTTCAAAATGCAGCAGCTGCATCTAGTGGACAATCTGGATAACAACACACATTGGTAGGGGCTGATGGGAATTTCAGTCCTGGGATATCTGGAGTTCAGTTTAGTTCCCAACATTTCTACATCAGTTTGTAATTCTTATTTTTTTTAAAAAAATTGTCAGCATTTTAGTGCAAATTTATCCTAATAGGCTTTTTTTGGTATGAGATTTTTGCAAGGAATTTTCCCTAATATAATGTATTTTTATATTGTTGTGTGTTTGCGGGGGGTGGTCAGTCTGTATGTGGCCTGAGTCCCTTCTAATCCCCTGCATCCAGAAAACATTTCTATACATGAAAAAATTGCCACTAGCATGTCCTCAGTAGTGCCTATGACATCACTAGTGACACAACCCCACCTCCCCATTCCATGGCAGACACGTGTATACTATGGATTGCAGAAAAGGTACCATTCCATCAGTTATATAAAGACTGGTTTTCCAGATAATGCAAAATGAAAACGAAGACCCACCAGTTGTAGATGAGGTGGACACACCAGTGCTAGTCACGCCATAGCTCTGGGTTGTATTCTTCTTTGCTCCATATGCTGTTGCTAATAAAGGAGAAGAGAAAACTTCAGTTCACAGTTTGTAGAAGCCAAAGAAAGAGATCTAGACATCTGCTGAAGGAGTGATGGAATCAGACTGACGCCATTTCTTAAGCCAAAAGCCATTTTAGAGCATCTTAGAGAGCAAGCTAAAAGCCAAAAGATATTTCTTTTGCAAAAGCACGACTGCAGCTATACAAAATCCAGTGTGGTCAGACAGTTGACACCTGTAGCAGACGGCTGGCACAAACAGGAAAGCTAGCTCACCGCAGAAGCTTAAAAGTAGACTCAGGCAGAAAGCTGTTAGACCCACAGGACGCACTTCTAAGAGAACAGGTGGTTGAGGTTTTACTGGGAAGCATAAAGCAGGTCAGACAGATAGTAAGCCTAGAGAGACATCTAGTGGACGCAGCAGCTTGAAACAGACCAAGGCTACCGCCAATCTGATTGGCAGAGCTTTTAATGAATATGCATAAGAAGTGTTAATTATTGGCTAAAGGGGGGTGCTGAGGGGCTGAACTGTGCTTTGCTTGAGGTTATAAAAACTATCTGCCCCCAACTCTCGGGGGCATTCTCTCGTTTTCTCTGAATGTACCCACTTGCATTTTGAGTTGCATTTTTGTCTGACAAAAATCCATTTCAATAAAAACTTTTTCTTTAAGAACCCTTGCTGCCTGTTTTTACATTTCTGGTACATATCTTGAAGTCCCTAACATTTCTTGGTGCCAAGGTGACTCGGATCAGGGACCTTAAGTCCCCAAAGACCAGAAGGCAGCTTCCCTTGCCCTTTCTGGGCAGGGGCAGCGGGGGCCAAAGCCCGGCCGCGATCCGGCGCGCACCGAATTCTTTCTTCGGAGGAGAGTGGCAGGGGCATCTTGACCCTTGCTGCACCCTGGGAGAGGAGGCAACGGATTGAAGAACCGAGGTTGAGAGGACAGGGCAGCCGCGGCTGGTGAGTACATGGAAAAGGGCCCTGGGGACAGAGGAAGACAGAGACCCCCTTGTAATTAAAAAGGGGAAGGGGCATCTTGATCACATGCCCGAGCGTGTTTGGTGGCAGTAAGGGAAGGATTGGTCCCTGATACCCACCCACGCTTAAGGATTTAAAGGAAGGCAGAAAGGAAAAAGGGGGGGAACCGGGGGACTAGTGTGTGTGGTACAGCGTCCAGTGAAAGAGGCACTTGGTGCGTGTGTGTGTGTAACCCCAGGGTATTCCCCTGGGGTAGAACCAATAAGTACTCCGGTTCCCAGCAGCGCGAGCTCGACTGGGCGAGGAAAATTGGGAACTGCATGGGTGTGTGTTTGGTGTTTGGGGACGCTGCACGAGGGCCATACTGAATATGGGAGGGGGAGGCTCAAAAGGTCCAGTAACTCCCCTACAATGCATGTTAAACAACTTCAAGAAAGGATTCAACGGAGACTATGGCATTAAAATGACGCCAGAACGCCTCCGCAGCCTCTGCGAAGTAGACTGGCCGACCCAGGGAACGAATTGGCCGTCCCAAGGGAGTTATGACCGGTCCCTGGTTGCAAGTTTATGGGCCAACATCATCAAGGACCAGGGGGGACATCCGGACCAGATTCCCTACATTGATAGTTGGCTGAATGTGATAGACAACAACCCCCCCTGGCTTAAGAAATGCAGGACTGAACAGTGCAAAATCATGGCCCTCAGGGCCGAAATAAAGACAGGACAGGCAAATAAGATCCTCAAGAAGCCCATTTACCAGGGACCCGAAGCAGAAGTCCTAGCCCCACCACCACCACCTCCATATGTTCCAACTACTGTGGTGGCGCCTGCCCCCAATGCTCCACCGCCGCCCCACTACGTGGCTCCAGGAGCCGAAGCAGCAGGAGGGGGGTTATCAGCCAAAATAGAAGAACACATGGCAGAACCCAGTGACGAGATCCTAGACGAATTGTACCCCAACCTTAAAGAATTGAGGGATCAGGTGGACAAATATAAGACAAATACCACCATGACAACTAGAATGAATACCACGTTGTATCGAAAAGCTGAAGAAGCGTATCGTAGGGGCCGAGAAAAAGCAAGGGGGCTGTATATAAAACAGAGCAGGTCCACCGCAGAGACAGGAACAGGAGTCCTGGCCCCCCTTCGTGTAGTGTGGGACAATCCGCCTCCGGCACCCGCACAGGCGGCAGGTCAAGGCGCAGGTCAAGGCGCAGGTCAAGGCGATGGCCAAGGCGTCCAGCCACCGCCTCCGCAGCCTAGGACTTTCACCCTTCAATACATCCCCTTCTCCACTGTCGATTTACTTAATTGGAAGACCCATACCCCAGCATTTGCTGAGAAGCCCCAGGCAATGTTGGATTTGCTGTCCTCTATATTTGCGGCTCATGAACCCAATTGGTCAGACTGCCAACAATTACTGAACACTCTTTTCACTTCAGAGGAGAGGAGGAGGATAAATACACAGGCTTGGGAATACCTTAAAGAAAACCAGGTGCCTGAACAAGAGTGGCCTAATCGGTACCCCTTAACTGACCCTCGGTGGGACCCAAATGAGGCAGGAATCCGCGCCACCCTAAATACCTACCGCGAAATACTCCTACATGGAGTGCGCAGGGCAGCTAGGAAGCCTACGGACTTGTCTAGAGTGGCAGCCGTCGTGCAACGGGCAGATGAAAGTCCGGGGGATTTCTTGGAACGCCTGATGGAGGCTTATAGAATTTGGACCCCCTTTGATCCCGAAGCCCCTGCCCATGAGTTAATGGTGAACGCCGCCTTCATAGGACAGTGCGCAAAAGACATCAGAACAAAGATCCAAAAACAGCCCGGGTTCCAGGGCATGTCTAGATCTCAAATTATGGCCATTGCCCAGAAAGTATTTGAACAGAGGGGAGAGGTTGAAAAGAAGGAGAAAAAGCAATGGATGAAGGAAAAGGCAGCAGTAATAGCCGCGGCAATGGCTCATAACCCAGGGACCCGAGAGGTCCGCCGCAGCCATTCAGAGACCCGAGGCCGGGGAGGAGGCAGAGGTCAAGTTTTAGGAAGAAACCAGTGTGCAGTCTGTAAGCAGGAAGGTCACTGGAAAGACGAATGCCCTCAGAATCGGCCAGGACGGATGGGAGGAAACCGAGGACGAGAGCGCAGGGGCAGGCTAATGGATGGACGATATGCGAGAGGGCCGGACCGGACAGACCTTGTAGGTCTGGCAGCCATGGGAGAATACCAAGACTAGGACAGACCGGGTTCCTCCTTTGTAGGCACTCAGCCAGCCTTTTCAGGTTCCCACTCGGAACCCATGGTCAAAATCAAACTAGGGAACCGACTTGTAGATTTTATGATCGATACCGGAGCCCAATACTCGGTGATAACCACGCCCCTACAACGGGAAAGCCACAAAACAGTGAGCATAGTTGGGGCAACTGGCAACCATTCAAGGAAACCTTTTCTGCAACCCTTGGACTGTCAGATCGGGGGGCGACACCTGACCCATCAGTTTCTGTATATACCTGAATGCCCCGTGCCCTTGTTGGGTAGGGATGTCCTCTCCAAACTACAGGCTCAAATCACTTTCACTCCTAAAGGACCCGAATTAAAACTGCCTCCACAGGCGAGCGGCATAATGTCAGTCACAGTACCTAGAGAGCATTCATGGGGACTCATAGCAGCTCTAGCCACGGAGCCACCGCCAGCCCCCTGCAACAGCCAGATACCCAGCAATCTCAGAGCGCCACCAGGCGTCTGGGCTGAAGACAATCCTCCGGGGTTAGCCATCAATATACCACCTATCATAGTCAAATTAAAGCCTTTCGCAACGCCAGTGTCCATAAGACAATATCCCTTACCACGCCAAGCGGTGGAAGGCATACAAAAGCACTTGGACCGCCTGCTCAACTATGGACTACTCAAACCCTGCCAATCTGAGTGGAACACCCCTCTACTACCGGTCAAAAAGCCTCAGACCAATGACTACCGTCCGGCACAGGACCTCAGGGTCGTCAACCAAGCTACAGAGACCCTACACCCCAACGTGCCCAACCCTTATACCTTGCTGAGTCTCATTCCACCGGAAGCCACCTTCTTCACCGTCCTAGACCTCAAAGACGCCTTTTTCTGTTGCCGCCTGGCCCCCCAAAGCCAACCCCTTTTCGCCTTCCAGTGGGAGGACCCAGTAACTGGTACGAAGGGGCAGCTTACCTGGACGCGACTTCCCCAAGGCTTTAAGAACTCTCCCACTCTTTTTGGGACAGCTTTAGCTAAAGACTTGGCCAAGTACCCTTCCATACCTGGCCACAAGGTGGTGCTGCAGTATGTTGATGACATCATCTTGGCTGCAGTGGACTATGAGACCTGTAGGGAGGGCACTGAAGAATTGCTCCACCTGCTGTGGGAGGCGGGATACAAAGTTTCCCGGAAGAAAGCTCAATTATGTCAAAAAGAAGTGAAGTATTTAGGTTTTGATGTGTCACACCAGCAGAGGGCACTGCGACCCGAGCGAAAGGAAGCTATCTGCTGCATGAAGGAACCCACCACCAGAAAACAGTTGCGAGGGTTCCTAGGAGCAGCGGGGTTTTGCAGAATCTGGATTCCAGGCTTCAGTATTTTAGCAAAACCCCTCAACGAAAGCACCCGAGGCGGAGAAAGAGACCCTTTTGAGTGGGGACCAGCACAGCAAGAAGCTTTTGAAACCATTAAACAATGTCTCATGGCCGCACCAGCCCTGGGTTTGCCAAACCCCGGGAAAGAGTTTCAATTATTTGTGCATGAACAGAAGGGTGTGGCAGCTGGAGTCTTAACCCAGAAGCTAGGAAGCTGGAACCGGCCAGTTGCCTACCTGTCCAAACAATTAGACCCCACAGCGAAGGGCTGGCCACCCTGTCTGCGAGCGGTG